TCGGAGACCCACCAGCCCCACTCCACCGGCAGCCCTCCCCTCTCCTCCTCTCCATCTCCTCACAACACCAGGTCAAATTTTGTCTCCCACAGCCTCGCATCCTCAGGCACCCCAAGCCTGTCACACACCGCATCCATTCCTTTCCCGCCTGTCCCCACTCCCAGTCAGTCCTCCCTTCCCTCTCCCCCCACCTCTACCCCACCCCACTTGTCGAGTTTGTCTGCCTCCAGCACCACGCTCCTTCCTTCCTCACCCAGGACCACACCCAGCCCCTTCACGTCCCACACTCTGACTTCCCAGTCTCCCATCTCTCAGTCTACGTCTCTCACCTCCCAAATCCCCACGTCTGGCCTCTTGTCTTCCACCCTGGGAATGACAGCCATCCTCAGTTCTCCGGTGACCAACCTCACCACAGGACAGTCTAGCTCCAGTGTGCAGCCGACCACCATGTTCCTGCCTGGCTCCACCCCGAGCCGTGGAAGCTCGTCCTTCCATACTGTGGAGTCCTGGTCGAGCCGGGGCACCCCCGTCTCACCCCTGGCCTCCTCTCCGACCAGGTCCCCAGGTGAGGAGTATCTCTGGGGCCCACTCTGCCATCTTGGCTTCCTCCAGTGCAGCCTGGTGACTCTGGAGCGTACCCTCGGTCTCTCCCCCCGGGGCCCCCGCCTCTTCCCTTTCTCCCAGCCTTTTGGGACCTCTTGGGCCGTGCCTTTCTCTCCCAGCCCGCACTCCCCACGCGGCTGTGCTCCATCCAGCCCTCCCCACACATTGCCGACAGCCGCTCACTGGTCATCGTGGCGTGGGATCTCCTTTGTCCCCCAGCAAGCCTCCTTTCTCCTGGGTCGGCAGGCCGCACGGCAGACTGAACCTCTTCCCTTACGTTCCGCACGGGCAGCGCCTGATGTCGGCGCTGCTCTGCCTGCCTCCGGGGTGCCAGTGGCGGCTTGCCCAGACTGTCTGCTGGGGCCCCTCCCTGTCCCTTCCGAGAGGACAGACCCCTGCAGGGAGCTTCCGAGATGCTGTCTCTCTCCTCCAGGATATTCACGTCCTCCCCGTTCCCCCCCGGCTCTGGTCCCAGCTGACCAGAGACGCCCATGTGCACAGGTCAGTGTTGGGCCATGAGGGTAGGAGCCTGAGTGTAACTCAGCAGGGATCAGGAAACCCTTGACCTCGGGGTACCCCCAAAATAGCCAGCTTCCGGAAGGAACACACCACATGAGAGAGCATCAGCCTTGGTTCCCGTGCACAGCTGTGAGGTCCGAGGGCAGCGGCGCTGGAACAAGGGGACACGGCCTGGGACAGGGGCTATAGTGCAGGGGCGAGGGCCCCGGGGAGACCGCATTGTGGGCAGGCAGGCGTCCTGACATCTTGTGAGCAGCAGCGGCTGTGAAGCTCGCAGCTTGCTCCCTCCTCACTCATGGGAGCCTCGTGAATCCCCGCCTCTCTCCTCCTGCCCCCGGGAGGGTCAGAGTGTGTCGCCCCCCACCCATGCATTAGGGCTGGCAGCTGACCACACCTATCTGCCTCCTCCCAGGGATCTGCTCGGTGAAGGAGCTTCAGGAGGAGGTCATGTACAAGGGGTGCACGGCCAACGTGACGGTGACCCGCTGTGAGGGCTTCTGCCCCTCCTCCGCCAGGTGAGCTGCTGGCCCCAGGCTGGGAGCCTCCCCCATCTGAGCGCGTGCCAGCCAGTCAGGTGGCCAGGCCGGCGCCCTGCCTCCATCAGCCTGCCTGGGGCAAAGGCAGACCCTCTCCTGACTGCCCGGGAGCTGGGGAGGCCAGCAAGGGCAGGGGGCACACTCCTCAGGGCCCCCTTGGCCCAGGCACTTGGCACCGCCCTTCTCCCTGGAGCCGTCCGGGAGGGGCAGGGGTCGCACTCCGGGGCTGGTCGGGGAGGAGCAGGAGGAGCACTCCCGGGGCAACGGCCCTGACCCACGCTCCCGGCTGTGGCTTCTTTGTAGTTTCAACGTTCACACCGAGCAAGTGGATGTGCACTGCGGCTGCTGCTACCCTCTCAGCTCCTACGAGAAGCAGGTCGTGCTGCCCTGCCCAGACCCCGGAGCACAAGGACAGCGGCTGGTGCTCACGCTGCAGATGTTCAGCAGCTGTGCATGCCACCCCCGGCGCTGTGGGGACTAGGGACACAGACCCCGGGCGTGAGGACGAAGCGCTGCTCTCGACACCACCCGCCCTCTCCCACCCCCGACGCTGGCTTGTCGTGCCCGGCAACCCCCCACCCCCACCCCCGCCATTGCTCCCACGAGGCATAGCCTCAACGAGCCCCCGCACCCGGCTCGGCGGGGCACCTCAGGGGAAGTGCACTGCCGAGAAGGGCTGCGGACGCTGAGCGAGCCCAACAGACTGGAATGAACTGGTGGCCCCCTGAGCACGCCCGTCGGTCATCCTCACGGCCTCCCAACCTGCGATGGTGGCCACCCGCCCCTGCCAGAACTGGGCCCGGGAAACAGCCTGAGTGGGGGCAGTGAGAAGGCCACCCTAGGGGGAGGCCTGAGAAGACGGGACACAGGTCCCGGGAGCTACGGGGCCCCTGAGCAGGGATGGGCGGGGAAGAGGCACGGGGCCGCAGCCAAGAGGGCCGCGAGGATCCCACCGCGGGGGAAGGGAAGGGAGGGCGGACGCAGGCGCCAGCCGGCATCTCACCCCGGGGAGGGGCGCCACATGTGCCGCGCACGACAAACCCACTGCTACGAATAAACCAGCACTGGTCAACGCACAGGGGCCGGCCCACGAGCTCCACTTGTGTCGTCTCCCACACCCCCGAGGCAGTCGTGAGCCCCGAAACCCACACCCACGCAGAGCAGTGGGTGCGGTGGCACCGGCACCCAGACAGCAACCCCCTCCAGGGGCCTCCCTGCGACCCGCGCCACAGCAAAGGGCCATCTGTGCCCCTCACCACCCCACACGGCTCCCCTACGGCCTGTCTCCGAGGAGGCCAGTCCCTGCTGATAAACCAGGGGAACCCACAGAGGACCCCGACTCTCCCTGGGCCCCTTCAGGTGCTGACAGGAGACGTGTCTGCTTAGGAAAAAACCGCCAGCCAGCACCCACCACCCGCGTGGTGCACACAGGCCCCAGCTCAGCTCTGCCCCTGCCCCGGCCACCTCAGGTGCAGACAGGCACACAGGGACAGCTGTCCCTGGCAGCTGGCACACAGGGACGTTATGTGAGAGCCAAGGACTCGTGAGAGCCGAGAACAGGAACAGCCTGCGGAGGCCGGGCTCCCGCTCACTCTGGGCACGGCCCTCCGCTCCCTGACCACGCCCAGAGCCCCTCCTCCCCTGGCACAAGGTCCCCACGACCCAGGAAAAGAGACCGGCTCACCTTCCAGAATCTGCTTTGCCACCCACACTTAACCCTCTGATCACAAGCAGGGACCAGTCCGAGGCCACGATGGTTACGGTGAACTTACCTAAAACCCAAAGATAAGGGAAGCCGGCCACGCCCCCTCTAGAGCGGCCAGCAGCCCTGTGGCCACCAGGCCGTGCCGCAGGGGCCCGGGACGGTCAGTGCTGCAGGTGTCCCTTCACGGCCACAGGGCTGGCGAGAGCCGCACGGAGTTCAGCCCGGCCAGCGTCGGCGGTCTCGCTGGCAGCCACGCCAGCCAAACACCAGGGCTTCTAACTTCTCGACTGCGACCCCACCCCAGAGGGCCCTGCCGTGGGTGCCGTGCCCAGTCCGAGCGCTCTGTGCTCGCGCACCCGGGGCCTGGCCACGCGGCTGCCGCACCCGGCGTCGCCTCCCAAAGCGGCCAAAGAGCCTCGTCAAGATCCGGCTGCGGCTTCTCTCAGGCGGGCGGAGGGGAGCTCTCAGCCACGCAGCAGCGGCGTTTCAGCACGATTCCAAACAAATCTACGCCCTCCTTCACACCGGTAACCTCCTGTCATCGGGAGACCGAACCACACGACGGTCCTGATCTCCACAGACACCGGTCCCGGGCCCACTCTCCCTTCCGATTGGGCCGCAGTGCGGGCTCAGCCTGTCTTTCTGACGCGCACCCCGGCCACCCCGGCCCCGCCCGAAAGGTCTGAGAAGCAGGGCTGAGAGGCGCCTGTCGACTGGGCTGTTTATTTGTGGCACGGCAAGGAGGACACACAGCAGACACGGAGAGACACCGACACACACAGGAGCCTGATCCTGCATCCTCGGCGATTAAAACTGCTCTGACAGCAATTCGCACAACCTCTGGGAGACGGTCTCTTTACTTGTGCGCAGCGTGAGGCGGTACATCTGCAACAGAACACGGCAGGTCAGCGGGCGCGCTCGGCAGAGGGCTCGGGGCGGCAGACGGCCACCCGAGCTCGTGTGCCCAGCCCTTCCCCGGAGCACCCCCGTCTCACAGACTGAGGCCAACAGAGCGAGCCCGACGACAACAAGCGCCAGCGTGCACGTGGAGCAGCCGGCATCTCCGTGGGCCGCGGTGCGTGCAACACCGGGCAGCCACCCCGGAGAGCGACGGGGCAGCTTCTCGCGAAGTTACCCGCGCACAGACCCTGTGAGCCTGCCCTCCCGCCTAGGCAGCCCCCAGGCGAAGTGAAAACAGGTATGTGCATAGAGGCACAGAGCAGCTCTCCTCAAAACGGCCCCACACCGGCACAGCCCGGGTGTCCGTCAGGAGGACCAGGTCAGCCGACCGGGGCACATCCGGCACAGGAGGGCCACGCGGCCACCGCTGCTGGAGCTCGGGGCCAGGTCGGCCCGACGGCAGGCCCCGCGGCGGCGGTCTCTAAGGGAGGTCAGGGCACTCCCTGGGGCGACAGAGACGCCACACGTGTCAGTGTAGCAGGGGCGGCCACACGGGCGTGCAGCTCTACTGCGACTCACTCCTACACTTGAGGCCTACGGATCTCGCCGTGCACGCGTTCTGCCACAAGGACGGCACAGTTTACGCGGACTTAGCAATTCCCCGGAGAAGCCTGACCTGGGCTTGCAGATTTGGCTCCAAACGCAGCAAGCATCCAATCTGGGTGGTTTTGGTGTGGATGATGCCAGCCCCCACAAAATTTGCAGGATTCGGATCAACTTCTTCAAGGAGCGCAGAACCAAACCCAATAATCTGCGCAACAGAGACAGGAGCGGGGGGGGCAGCGGACCGGGCACCGCAAGAGGCACAGCAGCCCGACCGGCCTCCCTGAAGAGCCCGAGGCAGTGTCCCCACCCTGGGAGCGCCCACAAGCAGGCCTTACCTTAGCTTTGGTGATTTCTGTGTCCATCGGATGCTTTGCTTTGAAAATGTTCTGCACTTCCTGTTGGGGACTAGTGAGGTAGAAACAAGGGTCACCACACTGAGCCAGGTCAGAGTTGGGGGGCCCTGCCCCTGCGCCCACCCACTCACTTGCTCAGCTGCTTCCAACGCTGAAAGAAATCCTGAGAAGCCATTTCTGTGGGCTGGAAAAATTTGTTGAGAGTGATAGGCAGCTTCACGGACACATTCTGAAAAGTCCCCCCATACCTATGGGCAACACAGAGAGACGTGGTGAGCAAAGTGAATGGACAGCCGAAAAAATCTGAAACTCAACTAGAGAACCAAATTCCCAGTTTGCTGATCGATGGGGCACAGGGAGGGCCTGTGGATGGGAGCTGTCGACAGCGTGGGGGTTGAGTGTTCTGGAAGGGTGGCACTGAGCCACAGAGAGGCCTGGGCTGTCTCAGTGTGCAGACCGACGAGCCGGGCGATCGCCGGTTTCTGTGCACATGTCCGGGGGCGGGAGGGGGGCTGGTGCTCTGGCCAGGCCCCGCTGGGCTCATGAGACCAGGACAGGGACGGACCTTGGGCACGAATTCCCACCATCTCGTCACTTCTCCCCCAGAGCCCATTTCCTACAACTCCAAGTTGGCTTTAAGTTGTGTACGGTTTTTCCTTCTTCCAGGAGAAGAGACTAAAGAAAGCGGTTGTCTACAGAAGGAAACAAACATTTGCGTGTCGGTTTCCGTAAATTCTACAAAGCACACGGTCTTCGCTTCTCGGTGTTTCTGATTTGAAAACCCCCAAACCTTTAACCTTACAGACACCTGCAGGGAACCGGGTTTTCACACACATGCCATCACGCTCACTGAAAAAGGATAGCAGTGAACCGAGCAGCAGCACAACACGCGGTTTTTAAAAAAGACTCACGATGGCGTGTGTGCTTGGAGGAGGGACTAAACAGCGATGCACCCCTGGGCGGCCCCCAGCAGCTGACGTCCGGAGCAGCAAGCACGAAGAGGCACCCGGACCCAGCTGGCCCCGACGCCGCAGCGTGGGCCCCTCAGAACCGTAGGTCACAGCGGCCTCGAGTTTCCGCGTGCACGCGGGTGCCGGCGTCTGCCGGGATTGCCCACTCAGCCCTCACGATGCCCTCTAAAGGAAGGACGCTGAGGCTCAGCGAGGACCAAGGGCCCCCAGGGACGAAGCTGCGCCCAGGCATGGCATGTGTGATGCCAGCCCACCCCCCACCCCCCCCAGCTCCAGGCAGGAGCCGGCTGCTGGCTCAGCCCACAGGCCCACGGGTCCTCACCGGAACTGGATGTTGAGGACGGGCGCCTCCGTGAAGTCAGACACGCACTCTATGTTGACGACCTGTTGCACTTGCGCGCCACCGTCCACGGTCGGGTCCACAGGCTTGGTCTGCAAGCTCAGATGTGCAGGTGTCAAGGAGGCCATGCCAACATTGGGGAAACGTGCCTGAGCCGAGCAAGCTCTGAAACCTTCTCAAAGGGGGTCCATAAGGGTCCGAGTTCACGCTCCTGATCTCGAAAGAAACCCTTAATGCAGTCAATCCTACATATACGGGTTTTTAATTCCTTTACCATCTGTTTCCAGTTTATCTCAAAATAAAAATGGACCTGGCCTGTGGTAGGTAGGTGGCTGCTTTGCATGCCTCTTGTACAGGAAGCAGCATCCTTCTCGGTCAAGCTGGGGCATTCTTAACCCTCGCTCTGTTCGGTCGGCCTATCCCTGGAGGAAAGATATTTGGCTACAAAGCTGGCACTAGCGGGGAGAGTTCTAACCACGTTTCTGGTACTCAGGAGGGACGAGGCTCCGGTGTGAAGAGGGCTGCTGGAAAGAAGCACAGCTCGCCCCAGGGGGGGCGCGGCACGGGGCCCCGGGCAGTCACAGGCCCCGGTCACCCTGTTCTCAG